GTAAAGTCATATGAAGTTAAGTCCATGGTTTCCTGTAATTATAATTACCTTGGAAATGTTAACTAAATAAATGTATTCAATTTCCCAATAAGCAGTTGATGATGACCTACTTATTAATTTTATATAGTTATACCAAGTTTTTTAGTACCAAGTTTGTTGATTTGCATAATTGAGATCACATGCAAAATATAGATGAATGATATACCTTTGTAATTAGGCCTATATACTTTTACATGGACATGATAGCGTAGAGGGCTTCAGTTGTGACATTCACCATGAGTGGGGCTCTAAATTACCTGATTGTGATAGGCAATGCGTATATAGGCCCATTGCAAAACAGAATCTGGCCAGGCACAGTTGACAGCCTTATTGCCAAATGATGGCATAGTTGACTTACCTTATATGCAACTTCCGCCTCATAGGCGAGTAACTGAATTATTAGTTTAACTTCTCATGATCATGCCAGTTTCATTTCCTACTAATTTCTTCACAGCAGACCACTAAAGTAAAGTGAGTTGTTGCACCTTGTTTCTGTTGATGTGGATTTCCTTGTTGTTGATATGTTTTATGATGAAGAAATTCGCCGTTGACACTGACTTGCTTTCAAAGAGTATAATTTTATTTAAGCAAGAAACAGAATCACTGGTCACGTCTGACCAGGAGGATCAAGAAGCCAATAATGATCTCTGTCGAACACACAGAGACAATTGCTTATATGCATCTAAACATCTGCTTTTCGTCATAAAAACATCAAGTTACACAACCATATATGGCAATACTCCTATACAACACCTCAATTTAAACATTCCACCTAAGGGGACTCCTAAATCTCCTTCAGATACTATCTCCAGACGCGCCTGTTGTAAACTTATATTATCTCTGTCCTGGTTACATCAGACACTTCATAGTCCCCCCTAGCGAGACTATAGTCTCGCAAACGAGATAAATTATACAATTATGATGTTAATTAGCCTCATACGAATCACTTCTGTTCATGCTTAACCTTAGTAATATAGTAAAATTTTTATTTGTGGAGTGTGAGAGCGAAAAACCCATCAGGCAGCTATCTTTCTTTATTATCCATCAAACAATCTAGACAGGAAAACTCTCTCACGGTTCCTTTGCCCCAGGCAACCACCTATAGTACTCCAAACCAATTAAAAAGAAAAAGGGTTATGAAAACTTTTAGGATGATATATAAATGCACACATTCAAAACCTCAGAAATAAAATCTAAAAATTGTCCAAAGTCAGGCTGGTCGACCCATCGCACCTTCCAATGACCTCTCCCTACCTAACACCACTTTCCCTAAGGATCGATAAAGAAAGAAAACACCTGAGGTCCCAATATATGCATCTTATACAGTTCCAGAAAAATATGTCTTGCTAAAAATATCTACTATAAAGTAAAACATACAAAAATATTTATCAACAATACAAGTTACATTGTAATAAACCTTCAATGATTTTTCAATCGAAACCCCTCATCATGATGTCTTCATTCAGGTTTCCGTTGTCCATTTCCATCCTCCATTTTCTTAAGTTTGGTTGTTTCAACTCCATTAATCTGGAAGGATCTCTGGACAATCAGCCACCCTCACATTGGTCTCCCAAATATCATCCTGGGAAGAAAAATCAACAGCCAGTATCTTTGTACATACAAAACCATCAAAGATATTCATTTTTGTATCATACTTTCACTTATTCCACTACATGATTAACATATACATGATTAATATACATGATTAACATATTCAATTCCCCCTTTTATCAATTCACTTCCAGTTCAAAATAATAGTGAGTCAATGTTGAATTCAGATATTCAAAAATGGATATTTCTCTCCAATCTCTATGACCTCCTCACCTTCACTTAGGTCATTACCACTCAGTAGCGGCATCTGAATGTTTTCTCCTGGCATCACAACTCCTACCCATCTCAATATCATAGCCTTAGCAAAGGTCAACAACAGCGTACAAAAACAAAACATCACACACAGTGATAGAAGGGTAGCCACCAAAATCTGAACCACTATAGCTCCTACTGGTCCTAATTGGTCTTGTAACCAGGTATTCGCAGACCATCCCGCTCTTTCTGATGGACCAAATGAATCCCTAATTAGTTTCAAAGCATCTATGACACTAGTCATATTGTCAGTGGCATCAGGAATCAAAGTGTAACAGGCTTCTCCAGTTAGATTCAAAGCTACACAGAGGCCACCTTGTTTGGCCAAAATGTAATCAAGAGCCATGTCATGTTTCAGCAACGTCAATCGATGACTCCTCTGAGTATTTGACAAATATTCAAAACCTTTTATGGTCTCGTTTGCAAAACCTTGCAGGGTATATGTAATATTATCAATATGATCAGCTAAGTATGTAACACCATACCATGGAAACAATCCTATTCCCCATTTCTCTCCCAAACTTATCCTCCAATGATAAGACTCCAAGTTGTGAAATTGTGCCAAATCTCTTTTCTTTCTACTGCTAGAGATTGTCGTAGAGTTATCCTCATCAGACCCTTGTCCCTTCTGAATAACAAAAACATCATACGGAAGTTTCAACTGTGCCATATAACAACATCCAATCCAACCATAAGGTAAAAATAAGTATGCCTTATCGCCACAAATCCACCAGATATCTTTAAATGTTCCTATGGTAAAATTACCCGGTAAAGTTTGATTCTTTACACTTAGAGTTTTACTCAGTCGGCGATGTGGTGCATGAAAGGTCACTGTATACATGTCATCAATAGCCCTTTGATCACGTCGTCCAAATTGCATCATATAGTTATCACATTCTGATATTCCCATAAACATACCATCTCCACCATGAGTACCATTTGAACAAAAACAAGATTTAACCTTCACAGGTGTCACTTCCATAGGATCAGGGACTGCTGTCGTAATATCTTCATACTGATCAAGGAGATTTATATATGATAAGTTCTTCAACCAAGCACAATTCCGTTGAGGTGTAAATAGATGCACCGACACGGCCATCCAATAATCATATGGTGCTTGTTGCTTAAATACCAACCACGATAGTGCATAATTTTGACATTTAGAAGTTAAAGGTTCTGGTACCGTCTCTAGAATTGAAGGCCATGTGCCTGGTGCTGGAACTCTCACGACACATGGACCACTCAAATTACTAGCCAATCTAACAGTGTGAGTCAACTGTTGGTACCACATATTTCTACTTGCCCACGGGTCTGCAATTTGCAACACCGAGGAATCAAACCCATAAGCTTTCCATTGGGTTTCACGCTTCTCTAATGCATGAAGATGTTTAGTCATGACTTCTGATGTTCCGTCAGCATTTACAAAATCACCAATCAGATTCGACATAGTCATCTGAATTGTTTCAGCTGCCTTAACTAATGTAGATGTAGCAACAGATGTCAACATCATACCTACAGACTTTGTAGACACCGAAGAACTCATCATTGTTTCGTTGATAGTAGATCCCATCTTTACAACCTCACTTGTAAAATTACTCGCAGCTAGAGTAGTAACCAAAGTTGATACGTTAATACTACTAGTTATTCTCTGAGCTACAGTAGTAGACGTCATCTGTTCATCAGTCACCCTTGGAGTGACTAGTTGCTTTTGAACCTCTTTAGCCACCGTAACTACTTCAATAGGATCTAGGCCTTCTACCACAAGCATTATCTTACGAGTTCTATACCCTTTTACCCAATAATTGTGATATGGTACAAATTTAAACTCTGGATCCAAATAAGTGCATGTATATTCTCCCTGATCTTCCCCTGTTACATTGATTAGGACAAGTGTACAGTCGTCTACAACCCTAAACAACCTTATGTGATTATACAAAATATACTTTCTTTGATCACGAGGCACACTATTAATTTCAGGTCCTGTTAGCACTATTTCTTCACCACGAACATTTTTCCAATTAGGGGGATTATTATCATCATTATTCCATTTTCCACATTTACATGGAAGGCGTGCTGAATTCCCTAACGTAGCTTTAATCACAATGTTTACAGGAATTTGAGTTGTAGAAATCATTTGAGGCTCAGCTGTATTTAGACGCAATATCTCTGTGACGTCAGTAACCTTCAGTTTTGAAAAGTTGGATGTCTGCTTTATTTTCTCAATCAGCGGAAGAGTTGATATGGTAGTTGACAGTTTTCCTACTTCAACAACCAGGTGTTTTGCAATTCTAGTTTCATTTAGTACCACTAAAGTCACAATACTGTTTCTGTAACCTAACCCCGATTGGACACTATGCTCTCCCATATTTACTAATTTTGGGTCATAATATGTACACTTATAGTCACCTTGATCTTCAATCTGAGATCTACGTAAATAAAGACTACAGTCTCCCTCAATCTTTGACCTTCTTCGATCATTAAGCAACACATACTTTTCTAGTGGTGATGTCCCCAATAAATCAATAACCTTACCATGGCTATCTTCCCACTGGACTCGGAATTTCCCTTTCCTACCTAAAACTGTTGATACAGATGATTACTCCATTGAATTAAGTAGGTTTGAATCATCTGGTTTGTATGAGATTTGTAACTGGTTCTACAAAAATGCAGTTATTAGAACTAAAAGGAAACTTGCACAAGATGATTGTCAGCACTGAAGTTCCCAAGGGGTCAAGTTTGAAAAATGTATTTTTATGCAGATGACACAATAACATATTTCTCTGAGCTCTTCGATAGATGAGGTCTTTAGAAGCAATCCGACAAGATCTTTCTGGTCTTAAATTTAATGCAGAAGCCAGAAACATTTAACTTTTTATAGTTAAAAAAACAGATTTCAAACCACGGTCATTTTAAAAAGAAAAAGATTGAACTAATGGGGCTTGACTGCTTAAGGCAAACACTTACAGAAAAATTAAAATGTGTGTATGGGCACGTGTTTGTAAGTATTTACATGATTAAAGAATGCTTTAAATCTTATATATTTATATACATGACAATTAATTACATTAATCAATGTTTAGAAGTATTTTGAAACATGAATGTGTTTCCTTGCATCTCTCCACTTTTCTGAAAGCCTTGTGCAGGGAATCCTCAGCTACTACTACAAGAGTGATGCTGAGGTTGAACAGGACTCAGAACTGCAGAAGTGGATTTCAGACATTTTTGAACACGGATTCCTTTCCAACGCAGACACAGGTGTGCTACTCTAAAAACACATAATCTCAATGAAAAATGAATTTGTTCATTTGTTTACTATTACATTATTGTCAAACAAACATTAGTTATATTTGATATTTTAAGTAATGCTGCTTGTTTTCTGTCATTCTCAGGAATTCCACAGAACCTTACCACAGTGGCTGAGATGGTCAAGTTTGTCACCATGGTGATCTTCACCTGCTCAATACAGCACGCAGCCATGAATTCTGGACAGGTGAATTGTTGTATTATTGTTTTAACTTTTGTGAAATTGGTTGATTTGGTTTCGCATTTTCCCTTTAAATGGGGAAGTCTATAAAAAATTAAATAAAATTTGTTGTTAAAGGTTTTTAGTTAGCATTTAAGATAATCAAGTCTAGAAAACATATGTACCCCTTTTCAAATTAGCTTTTTTTCGAAACATAGTTTGCTCATTGTTACTGGAGGAGATAGAGATTAATAGTTTTGTATACAACAGTAATAATGTAAAATAATAAAACAGATTAAGATGACTTCCTTTACAAACTAATGAACACTTTTTTAATACATAGAGAAAGAGATTATATTGTTGGTGTAACAAATAAGGCAACTCTGTCACAAGGCTGCTAACATCCTCACAATGGAAACCTATAGTATGCTGACTTGAAGCAGGTTAATGTTTTTTAATACTACCTTGTTTTTTTTTACATTTGAGAACACTAACGAATGACACAAAACAGGAGGTATGATTTGGCAGGATTTTGGATCCTAAGTCAATGTATGACAAAAGATATGTTTTGATGAAATGTCGATAAGAATTAATCAGTTTATTCATCGCAGTATGACTATTGTGGCTGGATGCCCAACGCTCCCAGCTCCCTGCAACTTCCTCCACCAACCACCAAGGGGACAACAAGCAAGGCCACCATGCTGCAGACGTTCCCTGATGTCAACGTGACAGTGAATGGAATGTCCACCTTGTGGTTACTCAGCAAGCAGTCCTCTGACTTTGTAAGTTCCCATGACATGTGAAAAACATAAATTGCATTATTTTAAGTAAGTAAAGAAAGTTAACATGGCTTATAGAGTCAACCATACCTTGGCTCTGAGAGCCCACACAGTATCTATTTAAGAAGCAAAAACATGAACACGTATTTAAATCATGGAGAGGAAAACTCATTGTAATGGTTTCATTGATGTCATCAGGTTCCATTTGGCCAGTACCCAGAGGACCACTTCAGTGAGGCGATTCCCTGCAAGGTGATTAAGGATTTTCAAGGAAAGATTGAAGTGCAAAGTGTCATCATCAAAGTCCGAAACGATAGCCTTGAAGTCCCATACACATACATGGATCCAACAAAGGAAGAAAATAGTGTGGCCATTTGAGTATGTTTGTGACCTCCCGCAGTTTTCATGTGCAGCTTCATATTATCAAAAAGAGTAAAGAAGAAACTGCATGATCATTTGAACATTAGATGTTAAACTTTCATTTTAACACAGCTGTAATTATTTACTTTAGTGATTTTCTTTTTTTACAGCTTTAACTCCTAATCAACTCCTAACAATATTATATAATTTAGTCAATGATTATGCAGGACATTTGATCAAAATAAATCACTTAGTAATAAAAAACTTTTGAATTTTGCTGTGTGACTACATGACCATAAAGTGAACTGTGCTATATGACTCACTGTCTGAATAATATATACTGTGTATACAGTATGTAATGAAGGGGACATGTGTTTAGATAGATATACTGTATGCTTTGTAACTGTTTCTCTGTTAAATAACAACATGTATTCATCTCATCCTGCATTTAATAAAGAACTGATCCAACACATCTGCATCTGTAGTTGTTTTCATCTTTGAAAATCTGAACATTTTGAAGACTATGGGACTATTTGCACTTTCCTGCATGAAGTTGTGCATGAAAAGTGGTGCATATGAATTTGAATTAAAAATGGCTGATTTTAGTATTAGTAGAAGTATTAATTTAATTGTAGTTTGGATGGTTCTTTACTTCCCCCAAGAAAGACCAAGTGGGCTGCAACAACCCCCTTTATCTTCTGAATATCGGATTGTACTTTTATGTTTTCATATCTTCAGCCACCATGACATTGAAATTTACCTGAGTTATCTAACCACAAGGTAAGGGGCCGTCATTTATACACTGTATTTGAAATGCCAATGCACTAAAATAAAAAACTTAAGGTATAATGCAAGATTAACACCCTGATTTATAGGCCTAATTGTTGTAGAACAGTTGCCTCAGCTTCAGCCCATTTCAAGCAACCAACAATTCCAGTGACAACCTATGTGACTGACTGCTATAATCAAATGAAATATCAAATAATCTTCAAATGAAGTCAACAATGCAACAGTGACCAGAAACTTGCATTACATATCTCTATCAAAAGAGATCAGCATCCCGCCATTTCTCTGCAGTCACATGCATGAACACTTTAGGCCTACACCAGTTCCTTCAAGTAGACGTACAGAGCAAGCGAGCGAAACACAAGAACACAAGATGCAAAAGTCAAATAAAGCAGCTATTCCAGCTACCCTGAAGTCCCAAACCATATTTACATATTTACAGTCCATGTCCTTTAGGCTGTACCTGAGCAGCACCTGAGCAGTGAGCAGCACCTGAGCAGTGAGCTACGTACTACGGGTGAGCGTATTGCATCATTGTCTGTTCTGTTCTCCTCTGTACTTTGTTTCTGTGTACCTGCTCTTAGCTTAGCAGTTAGCTTTACAATAGCTTCTTTTTCTGTCTCTCCCTCTCCTGCTCTCTCCTGCTCTACGTGTCAGATGTTAAGTTACTCCTCATCCTCCTTTAGTGAGGCTAGGGTGTCTGAGTTAGAGAGACGGCTCCGCACCATTGAGTCAGAGTCATCTTATGCAGCAGTAGTTAGCCAGCCACCTGTAGCCGGTGCGGGCCGACATAGCTTGGCTTCCCCTCTGAACTTTCACACTCCCGAGCAGTGGCTGGGTTACTGTCTGAGGGAAGCATAGTCAAAAATTAAAGCACACGGTTCCCCACCAACCACTTCAAGTTTCAAACAAATTTTCCCCACTCAGCGACACACCCGCTGAGAATAAAACTCTGATTATTGGAGACTCCATAGTCCGAAACGTGAAGTTAGCGAAGTCAGCGGGCATAGTTAGGTTTATACCCGGGGCCAGAGCGGGCGACATCGCATCTCATTTAAAGTTGCTGACAAAGACTAAAGGTAGATTTGATACAATCATCATTCATGTCGGCACTAATGACTCCCGACTACGCCAGTCGGAAGTCACTAAGGCAAATGTGGAGTCGGTGTGTACTTTTGCTAAGACAATGTCGGACTCTGTAGTGTTCTCTGGACCTCTCCCAAATCAGACCAGTGATGACATGTATAGCCGCATGTCATCACTCAACCGCTGGCTGTCGAGGTGGTGTCCAGCACACAATGTGGGCTTCATAGATAACTGGCAGTCTTTTTGGAGAAAACCTGGTCTGCTAGCTAGAGACGGCATCCATCCCACTTTGGACGGTGCAGCTCTATTATCTAGAAACATAGCAGAGGTTATTAGTCCAAAACCTTGACAACAAGACAGAGTTCAGACCAGGAGGCAGAGCTGCAGTCTTACACGCTTCTCTGCGCCTCCCTTAGATCTGTCTCCCAGTCACTATAACTGTAATTCTGAATCGAACTGTAGTTATACTATAGGTACTGTGTCTGTCCCCGGCCCAGACCCGTTTTTATAAGTCATCCAAACGTAGAAAAAACAAGGCGTAAATCGTCAAAATCTCATTAGAATCAAAACTACAAATACAATTTTGCAAAGAAAATCTGAAAATTCACTGCAGACTTTTGAACATTAGGTCCTTAGCATCCAAATCTCTTTTAGTGAATGATCTGATATCAGATCAGCATATTGATTTACTTTGTTTGACTGAAACCTGGCTGTGTCGAGATGAATATGTTAGTTTAAATGAATCCACTCCTCCCAGTCATTTTTGTACTCGAGACACCGGACGAGGTGGTGGAGTAGCAGCTATTTTTAATTCTAGTCATCTAGTTAACCCTCGACCAAAGCTGAATTTTTCTTCTTTTGAAAGCCTTGTTCTTAGTCTTCACATCCAGTCTCAAGAACCTTTCAGCCAGATCTAGTTGTTGTAGTTTACCTCCTGGCCCATATTCTGAATTTCTATCTGAATTTGCAGAATTTTTATCAAATCTAGCCCTTAGCAGTGAAAGAATAATTGTTGTAGGTGACTTCAATATCCATGTGGATGTTGATAATGACAGCCTTAGCACAGCTTTCATGTCACTATTAGACTCTATTGGTTTCACCCAGCGTGTAAACAAACCTGCTCATCGTTTTAACCACACCCTGGATCTTGTTTTAGCTTATGGCATTGAAATCCAAAACCTTAAAGTTTTCCTAGAAAATCCTCTTCTATCAGACCATTTACTTATTACTTTCGACTTTGTCCTACCAGAATTATCTCTGCTTAATAAAAATGTGCTCTCTAGAAGTTTATCTGATAGTGTTGTAGCTAGATTTAAGGAAGCTATTTCAGCTGCTTTTGATTCAGTACCGTGTTTCAACCAAGTTGGAAACTCTTATGATAGCTTTGGTCCCTCTCAGCTAGATCAGTTTGTTGATAGTGCAGTGGATTCGCTGAGAGTTACTCTTGACTCAATAAAAAAGGGGCACCACTCTAAAATCAGAAAACAATAACCAAATGTCACAAAATCAGTCTCGAATTGATTAAATACTAATATTATTAATATTTAATAAATAGCTGTATATAAATAAATATAAAGTGTGACTCCGTACACAGTCCCTCACAATCAGCTTAGATCACAATGAACATACACCAGTAATCACAGACAACTGCTCTTTTTTAAATGTATTTAATCAAAATCACATCTCTGCGCGGCCTGTGTCTCTGAGGCGTTTGAATGAAGACAAGTGTACAGATCTATAAGTGTGAGTGTATGTATGTGGCACTGTAGCGGTCTTGGAGTCCCCAGATGCGCGAGTATGTGGGAATGTGTGTGTATGTGTGGGTGGAGAAAGGAAAGAAAAAGGGGTGCCTGACATCACAGGCCCCCTGCTTGGACCCCTGCAGTTTGCCTACCGGTCAAACAGATCGGTGGACAATGCAGTCAACATGGCAATGAACTACATGCTGCATCACCTCGACTCCCCTGGGACTTATGTTAGGATCCTGTTTGTGGACTTCAGCTCGGAGTTCAGCACCATCATCCCAGATATCCTTCACCAGAAACTCACAGTGCCGGCCTCCACCTGTCAGTGGAGCACCAACTTCCTGACAGGAGGCAGCAGGTGAGGCTGGGGAGCATCACATCCAGCACCCGGACAATCAGCACTGGCACCCCCCAGGGGTGTGTTCTCTCCCCACTGCTCTTCTCTCTCTACACCAACAGACACAGACTGTAACGGACAATCGGGAAAAAATCACTGGTGTCGACCTGCCCTCCATCCGGGATTTATACCGGCTCAGGGCCAGGAAACAGGCAAGTAGCATCAGACTCCTCTCATATTAAACACACTCTCTAAAGCTTTTTCCGCCCAGACCTAAGCCTCTTACTTGTTAATTGCTCTGTCCCCGATTGCTGAAAAGGAAAGTCAGACGATTTGGAAGCAGATCCTATATCTGTTCCAGGGCAGATGAGATGAGTGGCTGCGGTGATTCCACCTGGCACTGGCGGCGTCGATGTGTTCTCCTTTGAGCGGGAAAATGTGCGTAGCAATGTCCTGTTTCTTTACAGGAGTTCATAAGACGCTCTCCGTGATACTTTGGGAGGGAGGGCGGGAGGGTGTACATGTAACTGTGTAAAATTGGCAATGAAATGCATTGCTCAATTGTCCTCTCATGGCAAAAATATCGTGGGGATTTCTGTAGAAATTTGGATTGTTTTGCCCAGGGGGTTACAATGCACACGTCGTCGCAAGTTGTACCTGAGAAAGAACATTCATAGCCAAGTACAACAGCAGCTACAAAGATTGGCTGGAGGGCCTGGAACAGGGACTTGTTACTCCAGTGACAGTAAGGAGTGCCCTTCAACCCACAGTACCTGAGGGAGCCACATCTGAGAATGATTGTGAGAAAATCTATTAGAGGTGAAGAGTCCGCAGGGAGTGTTGTGGCATTTTCAGTTAAAGCCAAGGGTTTAAGCTTTCAAAATCCTCTCATTTTATTTTTATTTTTTTATTTCTTTAATCTTTAATTTACCACAAAAAATATTTTCGTTTAGATTACATTTCTTTTTCAAGAGAGTCCAGACCATTTCAAGTGAAAACCCTCAGGTTTGGGGAGTTTGCTTTCAAACAATGCTCAGGGTAAGTAGAGGATGTGTTTTAGGCAGCATTAAGTCTAAATGGGTTAAAACAAAACTTTCCGGGAGCACCGGTAGGGTTAGTGCCCTACTTACGGAGGCTATAGTCCTCCCAATCCTGGCTGAGAAGACGATTATTGAAGGGGGAAAATCGGGCCCAAAATTGTCGAGTGTGTAGCCAGCTTTAAAGGCTTTTTGCGAAGAGGCCGATTAGCATAGAAGGGGCCAATTATTCCCAAATGAGTTCATAATGGCTCATTTAACCAGAAAAAAAACCCCACTAGCACTGCAGAGCAGTAAGGGGGGCATTTAACTGTCTTTTTGACTCATTTGTACAGGTTAAGTGGACGCAAAGGCCACAAAATACTTTAGTGAATCAGGCCCTCACTCTGTTTTTGTTAGGTAAGTACCATCTTTTGTGACATCATGCATCTGAATTTTATACTTGAAAGGGTAGTTTGACTGCAGGTGTTGTGATTGCTGAATAATTTAGTCTGCACCAATACTCTTTATTTAAATGGAAGGTTCTTATCTTTATCACATCACTTTCGGATCACATGCAACGCCTATTGTGTCCGGACGTCATGGAGGAAGCAACCTGTAAATTCTGCGCAAGTGCCTACAAACACTGTTGAAACTAAGATCAACATTTAATGATTTAATGACTTCTAACAGAGTGCACTACTTCACAGAGGGGGCGGGTGTAGGAGTTGGTTTGAAAAAGGCCCAGGTCCCCCTACACTTCACACCTTGGTGTGAGGTGTTGCAGAGCATGCTGGGATAGTGTTTCTGCAGGGAATGCTGAGAATCAGTGTTTTTTTTTGTTGGGCCTTTGTTGATTTCCTAGCTCAAAGTACTCAAATCAGGCTTCTGTATTGGCTACAGGCCGGACCATTGTTTCAACACATGGCGATCTCAACATATAGGTAGCCTATTACAGAAAATGTCTGATGTGTAACAAAACAGGAAGTTGCCATAAATATTTGCAAAGTCATTATTCCCTGCAATTTGGTGTAAGTTTCAACTCTGATCATGCTTCACACTTCAACTGTTTTTCACTGCTGTCCGAGATTATCTTTTCTTCTTCTTTTATTTTGCTGTTAACTTTTTCTTTGACCAGTTCCCTACTTTTCATTTTATCTTCATTCATGTCATGTGCGCCACCGTGAAGAGTCAAGGTAAAAAATAATATAGTTTTTTTGTGGGGGCTTTTATGCCTTTATTTGAGAGGACAGTGGATAGAGTAGGAAATTAAGTAGAGATAATGTGGAATAACATTCCACGGGACAGACTTGAACCTGCTGGTTGCCAGCTTAGAGTACTAAAGCCTCCTTACATAGAGCATGACCTACTGCTAGGCCACCGGCACCCACTATATTTGATTTTTATCTTTATTCAGGTCAGTGGTTTTTTACTGTTGTATAAAACGCATCAAATCTAGAACACATACCACATAATATGAGGCCGATTCCTTATCACACTGGCCCAGGTGTGATTCTGTCCTTAGGTTCTCACTTTCCCATATTTCCTCATTTTATCACCTGTCCAATCAAAAAGGCAAAAGCCAAACAAACACTTCTTTAAATAAAAAGCTTTAAAGCCTCTTCAGTAAATAGATTGGGGAGGAAAGTGAGTTAAACATTAGACTTTCAATCAGCATACCAGGTTCGGGTCCCATAAGAAACCAACACAGAATGACTCAGATTAGCCACAAACATCACCTTTTTGTTAGGTTTAAAAAAGATAACGGTTTGGGCCAAAAACAATGAAAAGTCAGCTTTGACTTTTGTTTTCAACATCAGTCTTATAGTGAAAGGAAAAAATCAGCATGTGAAAGAGTTTGGTACCTTGTGTATATATCACTTAATATGATTATTACTGCTTTAAACTTTTATATTTATAGCTATGAAATATACTGGTTTGTCTTCTCCTGATTTTTAAAAAGATGTACCTTTTGAACCCGTAATTTGACCATAAAATGCAATGGTTTTCTTGTGAAATGCCAAAGAGATCCTGGAGTTATTCTTTATAAATGTGGATTATTTCCAGTGAAACAAGTACAACGACTGTTTTACCCACGTTTGTTTTCACATAACTGAAAAATGCAGTATGGCCAGTTACTGACAGAGACTTCTGTAGAATTTACCTGCTTCAACTTGAGGCTCACTGTCAATTCAACAAAGGAATTTGATCTGAAAAAAACTTAATTTAGCCCTTGTAGTTTCCCATGAAAGAATAATCAACTTGCAGAGGGTTGTTATTCTTCAATAGCAGATTTCTGTAAGATCTGATCTGTGTCTCTGAATATATGCAGGTTGTTTTTAAAACATGTAAAGGTGTGGTTTAGGTGAAGTTTGCAAGCAGACCAAGCAGGAGCAGCAGCATGAAGGTAAAGACGTTTAAGTCTTCTGTAATAAAACGGGCTGGGATAAGTGCCATTGCTCTTTATTTCAATCTTAATGAAGAGAGAAGCTTTCCTTATCTGCTGCACTCTCATGCTGACTGAACGCTATTCTGTCCATATTAAGATGATGAGTGAGGAGTGATGGGCCCAGGCTGATTTTATCCCTGGTTATATTTTTAAACGTATAATGTCCAAATAATATTCACAGACTTCAATAACAGAATATTTATTTTGAAGTCATAGGTAAAATTGTTTTCCTGCCAACGAAAATCGCTCTTTATCCAACTGCGCGTGGCTATCGGTACCGTGGTTTTGAACCAGATGCTTTTTGCATTGAGGCCAACTAACATAGAAGGGTCAAACTATTCCCAAATGAGTTCATAATGGATCATGTAACTAGAAAACAACACTAGCACACAGAGAGACAGTTTTACTCTGCAGTGCAGTTAGGGAGGCAACCGTCTTTTGTACAGGTTTAGTGGGCGCAAAGGCCACGCAAATACTTCAGAGAATAAGTCCCTCACTTATGTTTATTTGTGAATGAAGTGCGACTCATAGCGACATGCTGCATCTGAATGTTATACTTGAATGGGTAGTTTGACTGTTGGTGTTGTCATTGCTTAACCATTTAGTCTACATTGATACACTCATTATTTAAATGGAAAGTTCTTTATTATCTTGAGTATTTAAATAATGTTTTTTGGAATTAACACTAATAATACTTTAAAAGAATGGTCCAGATCTGCACTGTATGTAAAGTGTCATGAGCAACTTTTTTATTGAACTATTTTTAAAATCATGAATTGTTTGATGGATTAAAGTGCTGCATTTGGACATTTTTTCGATTATTTCCCAATAGTTTTTGTTTTGTATTTGGTGTTCATACTAACATTTCATCACCTTAGTTGACTATTACTTGACACGCCCACCGATCTGTATGTATAAAAGAGGATGATTACTTTGGTGTAAGGAGCAGTTCATCCCTGCAGGAACTTCTAGGCTTCATTTAAGGTAAGAGACATGCTTTACAACATGATTCCATTGGAAACAATTGGACTGATACAGATAGACGACAAACACAGACTCAATATCAGGTCTTCTGAGTATTTTAACGTTTTTGTTTCACAGTTAAAACAACCAGTGCTGAAAATATAGTAATTATTTGCTTCCTCCTCAGGATTCTTCTGCTTTTGAGGGTGAAAATGGCAAATTATGAAGTGACTGTCTCCACTGGCAATCTCCTCTATGCCAACACTTTCAACAATATCTACATTAAGCTGGTGGGGACAGATGGGGAGAGCAATCACACCTGGCTCCTGAACATCTCAGGGCCTTTAGCCTTCAACACTGGAGCAGTAAGTGTAAAATATTCTTCTCTATGTGTAACGTTTAGCTTGACTAAAATAAAGTTTCCTTCCTAATAGCAGTATACCAGCTCCTTGTCTACAGTGGGTCTGTGGATATTGCGTGATTACATGCTCAACTGTCTCGTGTCAAACATACGGGGATGTTTACCAATGATCTTTTCTATTTTTCAGGTGTAGGCCTATGTCCGAAATGCATTCTTGTTATTTTTAATTATTAAGATATATAGGCTACTTTATTAATTAATCCCACGAGGGGAAATGCAATTATGTCTTTGATTTCTTCTTTTCTGTGACTTAGGCCTACTGCCATATTTACTTCTGACTTTGTTGCTACTTCCTTTGCAAATCTTTCCTTATCCAAATTTAAGCTAAGTAAATCCCAATAGTTCCCAGCTTTGAAGACAGATAAATCATCATTAATTCATTTGATAGACATTTTGCTGAAATCTGGATTGATGAATGAAATCCCATACTCTGTCATTCTTTGTTTTGTTTGCATCAGTGCATACTTTAAGATAATCAGCAGTCTTCCTGTGTTCTTGTGCAATGTTTCTCTAAATGTAATCCCCAGTCTTTGCTTATCCGTCCTCTATAATGCCTGTCCATTTTCTCTCATTTACTTGGCCAATACTGCCCCCTTGTGGGGATTCAGTACACTATAGCCTTTGTGAAGAAACATTCCATACAACTATAGTGCTGTTGTTGTAAATTTATCACGAAAGCTGACTCCGAATTTTATAAATATAATTCTTCAGGCAATGCTCACAAATGTGACCAAATGTCAATAAATCCTAACAATGAGTTATATTAAAATATTTTGTGCAAACGTTTGAGTTGTCCAATATTATGTTTTCAGTATTTGTATGCCAATTACAGGTGGGTGTTAGCTAAGTTTTTGGTATTCAAATACATTTTATCTAACCTCATTTCTGTCATTACTCAAGGAGTCTACTTTCACCCTGTCCTGCACTAACTCCATTGGAAAGCTGCTCCTGATAGAGCTGAACAAACATCCGGTCATAGTTTTCCCTGAAGACGCCTGGTTTCCTAACAAGGTGGAAGTGAAATCCCCTGAAGGACAAACTTTCAACTTTCCGATCTACCGCTGGATCACTGACAGTGAGGTGCACCTTTACAGGGATGGAAAAGGTTTGTACTGTTCACTTACCACTGACAACATTTAAATATCTATCTATCTATCTATCTATCTATCTATCTATCTATCTATCTATCTATCCATCAATCCATCCATCTATATATCTATCTGTCTATATGCCTTCAGTTTAACAGCTCCTATGCTTTGGAACACCCTCTCCATGTTCATTCAAAAAAAATTAAGCACCAACCAGCCTTAACTCGGCCTTTCAATCTGTCTAACATCCTTCGCTACCTGTCTAAGTTTTGCTTTTGTTTTGATTTTTGTTTGGTCCATCCACCATGTAAAGTGTCTTTGGGTCCCTTGAAAGACATTCAATCTATTATTACTATTATTGTAGTATTATTGTGTTTTTCTCTCTAAGCTCTTTTGGTCTATGAAGACACCCATCCTCTTGGCAAGTACAGTCGGGAAAAGGAGCTAAAGGAGAGAGAGGAAGCCTATCAGTGAGCACTGAGAGCATTTCATTTTAATTTCCTCGAAAAAATGCATGTAAAGCAATTCAACCTTTGAATAAATATAATTATTTTCATAACCATAAATTCATAACCTTGTGCAATTGTGAGACCTGTCAGGTTGTATCTGAATCTATTATATATATTAATAAAACACATCAATTAATGAAGAAACTGTATACACTGTATGTCCAGTATAGCACGCTTCCTCTAAATTAAAACTCCAGAAACTAGATTATCTCAACTTGTACATTTTCTAAATCTGATTTTCTCTGTTTTCCCAGATGGCATGTGTATGAACAGGGAATCCCCCGATGCATGAAGGCAGAAAACACTGAGTCTCTGCCTTTGGAGGTCCATTTCTCCTTCACCAAGACTACAGAGTTTCTCTTCACTGCAGCTCAAGGGTGAAGTCCATAAATTCTAACAGCAATCTATTAATAAATACAACTATGTTCATTCCTTGCTACCTATTTAGCGACACTATTAAATATATGTCTTTTTGCATATATTTCCTAGGTTGATTGAGCTGAAACTGGATGGTCAGGGTGATTGCACAGAGAAGTGGACTGACATGGATAGTATCTACCGGGCATTCTGCTGCAAAATCACTGACATATCAGGTATTTCTCTATTATCAAGCTTGCACTTCATACAGTTACAGGTCCCAATGGTCCGATCACCTACGTTAAAAAAAGTTGACCCGCCAGCCGAGACCAACTTGATGTTTAAACATCACCTTTGATCAGGGTTCTCACAAAAGTTGATAATAAATTGAAGGTTTGGACTACAGGTAGTATGATTTGTCTTTCATCAAGACCACCCACAATGGGCATTAACAGGTTCCAATTGATAGAACAGGGGGGAAAAGTCCTCTTAGAAATCATACTAGTATGGATCCATGACTTCTGCAATAAAATGAAGTTGTCTCCTCACTTTTTCATGTCTAATGAAGGGCTAGGCCTGAAACATTTGGTGATGAATTGGAGCCATTTCTGCTGTGTAGAATAAGTCTTCCTATTGTCTTTATTCCTGAGATAAACTTCAGATATTACGAAAACAAAAAACTGAAAAACTGTCTTTGGATTTCTTGTGAAAAATTAGGTATTAGGTACTAATGTATATATATTTTTTTATAGAAAACTACTAATTGTATTCATTTCTTATGTTTTTGACTCTGAATTATGTGAAACACATTGTTTGTTAATTTTCTATATCACCTGCAGTCCTGTCACAATTTAACAGTTAATCTGAAACTGAATAAAAAGCCTGCTTCCTTTCCAGTCTATGTCCAGAAACATTGGAAGGAGGATGAATTTTTCGCCTACCAGTTTCTAAATGGCGTCAACCCCATGCTGATCCGACGCTGTTCCGCCATACCAAGAACTTTCCAGTCACTGAAAGCATGGTCTTCATCCATGGTCCACATACCCTGGAAGAGGAATTAAAGGTGATTGTGATGCCTTTTATGGGTCTTAGTATTAGAAAGATACAGTTCCCTGATGACATGATAATTATGGACCTGCAAGTCGCACTTACATTTCCAATCCATATTTGTACTTCACAATGTATGAGTAAAATAAATTATTTTCTTGACTAAAATTTCAAACAGAATGAAAACATATACCTGTGTGACTACAAGCTTTTGGATGGAGTGGAAGCAAACACCATCAACGGAATGAAGCAGTACTTGATGGCTCCCCTCGTCCTGCTCCAAAGAACACCAGATGACAAGCTGATGCCAATCGCTATTCAGGTGAGAGTGACAGAAGAGCTGTAAAGCAGTAGAGAATTTGTAAATTATTATTTATATATTCCTAAAATTCTAGCTAGTTCTATATAGCTGCTATTATTTCCTCTTGGAACTGCAAGTTTTTTTTTGTCCAAGCTGAAACTTACCTGGCTGAGAATTTAACTGCAGTTCCATGATTGACCACTTGGGTTTAGCTTATAAACATGGCCAATCCCCTTTACTTGTCGTTTAAAAAAAAAACCAACATAGGAAAAAAAATAGGAAAAGATTTCTCTCCAGCTATTTTGTCTCTTCATGACCGCTTTGATTGATGAGGGATGTTTCTGGCTGCAGAAGGAGTCACTGAACGTATTTGCGGGTTTGTGTCGTTGGTGTTGGCTGGCGCTCCTGCTATTACATTGTGTTAAATTCAAGTATGGAAAACATCAGCAAATACACCCACAACATTTATTTAGGTGCTGAGTTGGAGAAAATGACTAGATAAGATGCACAAAGACTTGCAACACTATGGCTCCCACTATACAGTACCTGATGAAGAGTCCTGTTGGTCTCCAAACATTGTTTTGTTTAATGGGTATAGCAACTATATAAGTATATCTTTGGGAACCATAGTGTAGTCTTTGTGCGTCTTAAATTCAAGTATGACTTTTTGGCTTTATAGCACTAACTAGCAGGTATACTTCAGTCTCCATACTTCACTGTACAATTTCCAATAAACGGGCGAACATACAGACTTCAGATGGTTGTTCATCATGTTTAATCAGTGATTTTAATGTATTGAATGACTGGAATTACATACATCTCACTTTCTTCCCCTGTAGCTGAAGCAGACTCCTGGCTACAACAATCCCATCTTTTGTCCTACTGATTCTGAGTACGACTGGTTGATGGCCAAGATTTTTGTGAGAAGTGCAGATTTCAACTTCCATGAACTCAATATTCACCTGCTGCGCACACATCTGCTGGCTGAAGTTTTTGCTGTATCTCTACTGCGAAATGTGCCCATGGTGCATCCACTGTACAAGGTGACACGCAAGATGGAACACTAAACTTACTGTCGTTTTTTCCAACTTGCTGATGTTTGAAACTTCCAAAGTTGATGAACCATGTTGTTCAAATGTGCACTGTGCAGTCAATGTTTATAAGTATTATAAAAATATGAAATATGTTTCCAAGAAATAATTTTACTGAGTGTAACATTATTTAATCTTTCCCTCAGCTGCTCATCCCTCACACTCGCTACAGCCTGCAGATCAACCTCATGGCTCGAAATCGGCTCATTTCTAAGGATGGTACTTTCACAAGGTAGGAAAAGACCAACACTGCACGCTCAGTAACCTTAACAATGTTTTTTTAAGCATCAATAGCATGTCCAGTAACTGTATTAAACAGTATTCAATGTATACTGGTTTCTAGTACACAGCTTGTGGTGGAGAGGGTATGTTCACAATCCTGAAGAGATCAATGGCCTCAATGACCTACAGCTCCCTCTGCATACCAGATGACATCGCTGAGCGTGGGATGGAGGCTGTACCCAACTACTACTACAGGGATGATGGACTCAAGCTTTGGGATATCATCCACAAGTATTTAATTTCAATTTTGCATTTTGTTTGCTACTAGTGTTGGAGCAAAATTAAGAATTCAGATTATCTTTATTGTCCCACAAGGGGAAATTTGTTGTACAGCAGGATCACACAGAAAGACAACATCAACAGTAAAACAGTGCAAGTATGGCTTGCATTTAGGTTGCAACTCATATCGTACAAAATAGTCTTAAAAGAACAGGAAAAGGACATATATGGCTTAAATTATTTGTTTATGGTCCTTCAAATTAGTGTCTTACTAATGCAGGTGTATTAAAATGTATAATTCATCCCAAAGTATTCTTGATGAAACTTTCCCATGTTTCTAAAAGGTTTGTGAAGGGAATCCTCAACTGCTACTACAAGAGCGATGCTGACGTCGAGAAAGACTCTGAACTGCAGAAGTGGATTTCAGACATTTTTGTAGAGGGATTCCTTTCCAATGCAAAGACAGGTGTGCTTTCATAAAAACTCTTATCTTTATCTTCATAAATATGTATATTACTTTAATTAACTTATATAGACACCTTTATATCATGCAGTTTATTCTCCCCGATTCACAGGAATTCCCCAGGGCTTTTCCACCGTGGCTGCGTTGGTCAAGTTTGTCACCATGGTGATCTTTACCTGCTCGGTACAGCACTCAGCTGTGAATTCTGGACAGGTAAATCTATTTAATGATGTTTTATTTCTTTTGGAATGGTTTGATTAGAATTTGCATTTTTCTTTGAAGCGAAGAGATTGAAGCCAAACCTCACCAGGTCCATTGTTTTAAACCAATCCTTCACTATTTTAAACAATTGATGTTGTGTTTTCCTTCCCTTCCATAAAGACACTTTAACTAAACGTTGGAGCATAAATAACGTACGACAATGCAGGAGATAAATGTGGAAAAAACACCTTCATTGACTGCTTGGGTTCATACTGAATTATTTCATAAAGTCAAGGGCAGACTGTCGATAAGCCTGGCTTGGCGCTGCTCTTAGAACTATAAACATACAAATTACATTTTGCTACCTGGCTTAGACATTTTATTTATTAGCATGTTCATAGTACTTTGCTTCAAAAAGTAATAATCAGGAACCGTTCAATCATTCATTCATTGCAGTATGACTATGGTGCCTGGATGCCTAACACTCCCATCTCCCTGCAACTTCCTCCACCAACCACCAAGGGGACAACAAGTGAGGCCACCATGCTGGAGACGTTCCCTGATGTCAATGTGACAGTTCAGGGGATGGCCATCATGCATCTTCTCAGCAAGCAATCCACTGACTTTGTAAGTGCAACGACCTCTTGAAAAGTTTACATGAATCAAACGTATACCTGAGATGTTTCAAGTAGGTTCATATTTCTTTGAAGAAAAATTACATGGATGTCATGGCAGCACAGCAGACTGTAATAGAAGGACAATCGAGCTTACGAAAGAAATTCTGATAACTTCTTGCAGCTGTACAATGTTTATCAAATGATCTATAGCCTATGTTTGTTATCATTTAAAATTAGATGGGAACAAAAAAAAACCTTATAAATGTATCATTGGTGTCATCAGGTCCCCCTTGGCCACTATCCGGACGAGCACTTCTTTGAGAAGATTCCCTGCAAGCTGATTAAGGAGTTTCAAGGAGACCTTGAAATACAAAGTGTAATCATCAAAGTCAGAAACGAGAATCTGGATGTCCCATACACATACATGAACCCAACTGTGGTGGAAAATAGTGTGGCTATTTAAATATGTGAGTGACCTCCTTGGCAAATCCAGCTTCATCTTATCTGAAGTGGAAAAAAGGAGAGCCTTTAGTGGAAAGAAATCATTGTATATATTATGATCATTTATGGTTATAGCACTTATGTGCAGCTTTCATTGAAAATGTGGGATTGAGAGCTTCTTTGTTTGTCAATGATTAAACAGGCCTTCTAATCAAAGTATTTTTGGGAAAAAAATGATTTTGCCTTCACACTTTAAAACTTAAGAAGTACTCTGTGCCTCATGGCATACTGTTAGAATGACTTGTGCATTATTTTAGGGACATAAGAGTGGGGTTAAATCAAGGAAAATGGTGAGTTGCAGTAATCTTAAAACTGTGAAACTGTACTGTACATGCTTTGTCTATATTTTCAATGGGGAAAATTCAAGGGGGTCAGGTTACTGTCCTGAAAACTGCCTACTTTCTTTCCTGCCACTTTTGGCTAGGTTCCTACCAAGACAGATGGCAAAATCATACAGCAGTTGGTCCATACTTTAGTTCAAGAATGTTCTTTCAATTTTTACTTTTAATAAAAATATATTCAAATAATTTATGGATGTTGTGTTTTACGTCACTAACAACTTATTTTCTTGGATACTGAGAATCTTATGTCCTGTAAGTACTTTCAGTTCCAACATGACTTTCAGCAAAAAGTCCAGTGTTGAATTAACTCCCAGAGTTGATTTTAACCCTTTTTCAGGGTTTATATAGCTCCACACTTTTTAGAGTCAAATTAACACTTTTAAAATAGTTAAACATTTAACATTGAGAGAGTTCCCTTTTCAACTCGCTAAACAGAGTTAAAATAACACTTAGGGATTAGAAAAGTAACTCTGCTACGACACTTATTTTCTACCTGACTAGTGTCAGTTTCTGTTGGGGTTGTATCAAGTCAACTTTGGTTATATTCGTTAATAATTATATTTACTTATTAATCATATAAATAACAATATCATTAAACTATGTTTAATCTCGTTTGGGGCACCAACCTGTAATCAGGGAAATATAACCAAATTATCACTCAAATCAGTTACTTAATTACTAATATTATTAATAATTAATAACTATATTTAATAATTTGAAGGCGTGAAATCCTTACACAAAGCCTTCGCACCCAGCTTATATCACAATGCAAATACACCAGTAATCACAAACAACTGCTCTCTTAAAATTATAACAGAATTTATTTAAACAAAACAACATCAATCCAAAATCAATGAACTTAATCAAACAAATAACTATTATAAACTAATCTAAGCAAACAAACATTATCAAGCAAAACTTGTGAATGAGGTGTAAATGTGTGTGTGTGTGTGTGTGTGTGTGTGTGTGTGTGTGTGTGTGTGTGTGTGTGTGTGTGTGTGTGTGTGTGTATGTAGATGAGAGAGAGAGAGAGAGAGAGAGAGAGAGAAAACAAGATGGTGGAGAGAGACAATGAACCATGTGGCTTCGTCACATGGTGACAAAATGGTGGACAACAAAGGAAGCCGTGTGGCTACCTTTTGAAATAGTTTGAGCTCTCTGAGCTGAGTTCAGTAACTGTTACTTAAACACCAGAAAGCCAGTGACCGGACTTTGATTCAACGGCGGGTACACTGGTCTTTCTGATTGTGAAAGCCGTTGACTGAAGGTAAACTAGCATAGCATTACATACATAGACGAACACAGCAGTTCATTACAATAAAACAAATGCCACAGCTTACAACAGATAATAAACAGAATGTGACGTCTCGTCAACAATGATGCATAATTATCAGTGATTATAAAAGAAACATAACTATTTCTGAAACTATTTCTGCCCAGCCCAAAGCTCTTACTTGGGGTAACTCCTGGTGATCGTTACAAAGTTGGTTAGATCGTCACTCTGTTGAATGTTAAATCAACAGATTCAGGCAGGTTTCTAGTGATGTGTAGTTTGTGAACGATTTGTTCAAAACAAACAAATCATCTAAGTGAACGAACTGAACTGAATCACTTACTGAAAAGAGTCGTTCATTTCTCAACTTCAGTTGCGCTCTCCTCTCTCCCGTCTGGTGTCTCTCTCTCCAGACCGTAAGAGTCGCTCAAAGCCCGCCCTCCCTCTCCTTTTATGTCAGTGATACGTACTGACTGAACCAACAGGACGGAGTCGGTCGGGAGCTCTGTGTCGCTAAAGCCCGCCCCTACTTCTCCCTCTCATGTCTCCAAAATTGAGGAAGTAGAAAATATATTATTTAACATTTAGGTGTCGCGAAAATGTATGTGCTTTTTATAGCTGCTGTCAGTTTGCAAACAGCTTTTATATCCAACTTAATTTCACTCAGCTGACTGTTTTAACATCCACTAACGATCGTGTTTCAGTCAGTACAGTGTGTGTGTGACTGAGGCTGGTGACTCGCAGTCTTGCTCGTTCACGTTCAGTCAGTGTTTCGTTCACTGAACGAACTGAGAGGAAGAGAGTGACTCGGAGAGTGACTCGTTCACTGAACTCGTTCAGTTCAGTGAACGAACTGAACGAGAGCTCCGACATGAATCACTGAACGAACTGAGAGGAAGAGCGGGGAACGGGAACGGGAGCTCCGCCTCCGAGTCACTCTCTTCCTCTTCTTGTACTGAACGTACTGAACAGAACGGTCGGGAAAAATAAATGTGATTGTTTTAGCAGCTTTCAGTTTGCAAACTGTAGCTTTATCCAACTAAATTCTCAGCTCATTTATTATTCACCACCGGCTGTTCTCAGTACGATCGCGAGCAGAACTAAACGGCCGTGTTTCAGCTTATTAAATTCTGATTCACAGACAGAGCTGCGGAGAAGTACTGAACGATTCGGTGAACAGATCTTTTGAACGAATCACTTTACTGAACTGATTCTACTGATTCAGTACACTGAAAAGAACTGCTTTTCCCATCACTACAGGGTTCCTTCGTGGCAGATGTAGGAGGAGGGAAGCGGGATTCAGATCTTCAACCAAAGCGCTGCTCTGTGGTCATCTGGTTGCAGGAGCCGAGTTCTTTATGTGTCCTTGTGGATTCAGGGATCAGTGGGCTTCCTTCAGCGCTCCTGTCCAGTTGCGTTCAATGACGTCTTACGAAAAATCAAAGGAAAGAAACTCTTCTTTTTGCTCGAACCTGATAGCATCTGATTGCGCCCAAAACTCCTACAAATATGCTGTGGAAGTAGTCAGCTGAATCTTCTGATGCTTGAATTCAGCATGTGAAGAGCTACCTAGACTGAGCAACCTCAGCTCCGGAGTTTAACCTATGTAAGCCAAGAGGAGGAAAGGGTTTGTCTCGAATGCTGGAGTCCATCTTGTTGGAGAGTGTGTCCTCTGGTGTCGGCAGACACAGAAGGAGGCAATGCCTGGTGATTGCTTTTAAAGACTGGAGCTGCCTGTGGGTTTACCTCAGGCCTCCTCCAATGAGGATAGAGAATTCAGACACCCCCCACCCCCCCACTTTTCACTCCTATTTGTTAGTTTCTGTTGGGGTTGCTGGGCTAAGACCCCTTTGTTTAGTTGCCTCCAAAATAACTCTAGTCAGGCTTGAGACTGTGATACAGGCCTGAGTCCTTTGTCCCACACACATGGCTGAGGCCCAACAACCCCCCTTGTCATGAAGAGCGAAATGCAGGTTATGATCTTTAGGGCAGCTCATGGACCAAACAGTCCATGTGTCTGGGATGGAGACACATAATCAATATGCCTTGATAAAGGCTTTGGGTAAGTAACCCAGAGAGCAATTGCAGAGACAAAACACGTTTTTTTATAATATATATGTATTTACACTCATACAGGTACCCTAAAAACAACATTTTTACACAAATTTAATTAAGTGTCTAAATGCACTTGCATACAGTGCAGTGTATTAACTCTCACCTTATTACAGAAAACTAACACTGGAAGCTTAATCATTAAATTATTATTATTTATTTTTCTTTATTATTTTATGTCTGCCACTCTGCCAGTTTTTTGCCCATTATGTCAGTCTTTATCCTTTGTTGTATTCCTTCGTTAGATGCAGGATAACTATACATCTAGGTCAGGTATGAGTCCCATCACCTTTACCTCTTGGAAATGTAGGGGCCTTGGCATGGCTGTGAAGAGAGCGACAGTATTTTCTCATTTAAAATCTTTGTCATCTGATGTAATTTTTTTACAGCACACCCACATTCGGCCAATAGAGCAGAGACGGTTGAGATCTATTTGGTGTCACAGGTGTACCAATCCACATTCTCTTCCAAAGCGAGAGGGGTTGCCATACTTATCCGCAAACCCGTTCCATTTGTATTCCAGTCCATGATCACTGACCCAGGTGGGAGATATGTTCTTGTCACTGGTACAATAAATTCCCTTCCACTAGCTCTCTTAAATATTTATGCCCCTAACGTTGTAAATTCTTTAATCTTGTTTCTGTAAACAGCAACTATAATATAATTGTTGGTTGCGACCTCAACCGCTATCTTGACCCCAATTGGACAGATCCTCCTCAAAAATGGCTCCCCCCCTAAAATCAATCCCAGTCCTCAACAATCTTGTAAAATCGCTAGACCTGGTTGACATCTGGAGACTTCAGCACCCCTCAGAAAAACAATAATCTTTTATTTCTTCTGTACATGGCAGTTTCTCCAGGATTGACTACTTTCTAGTTGATTCTAAATTGCTTTCAAGCATAGTCAGCTCAACTTATCATGGTATATTAATTTCAGATCATGCCCCTCTGTCTTATGAAAATTAATTTTAATATTCCCATACGTCGTTGTAACCGGAGATTTAACCCCTCTCTGCATGCAGACCCATCCTTTTGGGAATACATAGCAGCTAAGATCTCAGACTTTTTACTCACTAATGATAACAGTGCGGTTTCAGATTCAATTCTTTGGGAGACCTTTAAGGGTTAGGGTCATATTGTCTCCTACCAATCACCGAGCAAGAGAGCCAGACAGCGGCGATTATCTGACATTGAGGCTGAGCTATCTGTATTAGAGGGCATTTATCGCCAATCTAAATTCATTGACACCTTTAATTCCATCTTGAAAATAAAATAGGAATATAACAATATTATTGGAGAGCAGGTCAAAAACCATATCCGCAAACTCAAGCAAAAGCACTTTGAGTTAGGCGATAAGGCCGTTAATTTCCTAATGGCAAAGCTTGCGGCCCGGACAGCTTTGGAATAAAGTTTTATAAAGTTCACATAGATACTGTTGCCCCTCTTTTACTCAGTATGGTAAATAGCTCTCTTCATGACGGTAGCTTTCCAAAAACGTTGTATGATGCTCACATCTGTCTTCTTCTGAAAAAAGATAGGAACAGTACTAATGTCTACTGTTCATTGACTCCACTTTATGTGGACAAGATAGCATCGCTAAAAATTACAGCTCTGCAGTTGATCGTTTACAGACAGAAGATGTGTCACACATTCAAGAAGTAAAGTTCAGGAAAGACACATTATACCTCCCTAAGGTTTTAAATGTCATGTAT